CTTATTCTCTCCAGCCACCCTACCACCTGTCCTCTAGACCCAATCTCCTCACATCTCCTACAAGCTATTTCCTCTGCACTTCTGCCTTCACTCACACACATCAACACATCTCTTCTCACAGGAATTTACCCATCGCATTCAAGCAGGCTCGGGTAACCCCACTGCTTAAAAAAACTACAATAGACACCTCAATTGTTGAAAGCTACAGGCCCGTGTCTCTCCTCCCGTTCATAGCAAAATCACTTAAATGCGTTGTGTTCAACCAAGTGTCTTCCTTTCTCTCACAGAACAACCAGCTGGACAATAGCCAATCTGGATTTAAAAGTGGCCATTCAACTGAAACCACATTGCTGTTAGTCACTGAAGTGCTATGGAGTGCAAGAGCTGAGTCCAAATTTTCAGTTCTCATTCTGCTAGATCCATCTGCTGCATTCAACACTGTTAATCATCGAATCCTTCTGTCCACCCTCTCATCGCTGGGCATCCCTGGAACTGCAGTCCACTGGTCTGAGTCTTACCTCACAGGTAGGTCCTTCAGGGTGTCTTGCGGAGGAGAGTTATCCAAATCACATCAACTGGTCACTAGGGTTCCTCAAGGATCAGTTCTTGAGCCCCTCCTCTTCTCTATATACACTACATCACTGGGACCCATAATTCAGGCACATGTTTTTTTCTACCATTGCTATGCTGATGACATGCAGCTCTACCTCTCATTTCAACCACATGATCCAATGGTACTTACTCAGATCTCAGACTGTCTGACGGACATCTCAGCATGGAGGAAAGAACATCACCTGCAGCTCAACCTGCCAAAGATGGAACTTCTCATCTTCCCAGCCACCACATCAGTACAGCACCAGTTTTCCAGCCAACTGGGCTCCTCAACGATAATCCCAGCGTGTTCGGCCAGGAATCTTGGGGTGATCCTTGATGATCAGCTGACCTTTAAAGATCATATTGCAAAAACAGCATGATCATGCAGGTTCGCATACACAACATCAGCAAGATCAGACCCTTCCTAAGAGAGCATACAACACAGCTTCTCATCCAGGCCCTTGTCATTTCTAGGCTGGACTATGGCAATGCTCTTCTGGCTGGACTTCCAACATGTGCAATCAGACTGCTTCAAATTATTAAAAATGCAGCAGCATGTCTTGTTTTCAGTGAGCCCAAGAAAGCCTGCAGTCAGTAAAGCAGTGGTGGCTTGTGGTACCATCACAGAGAGGCACAAAAGCACTCTCCAGGATGTTTTTTTCACCGCTACTTGTTGGTGGAATGACCTACTTAACTCCATTCGGACAGCCAAATGCCTGACAATCTTCAAGAAACA